GTGGGTGTTGTTTTTTTGTTTGTGTTTTTTGTATGTTTGTGTATTGGTTTTGTTTTAATCTGTCTGAATAAAAAAATTAATTGGGAAAAAAGGAAGAAGTGATACTAGATAATTCATTTATTAATGGCAGGGGTTGTCAACTAGCAGAACCTAATTCTCTCCCCAACCCCACCTCCTTCAGCAGGGCACTGCCAAAAATATAACCCTAAGGTAATTTGGAAGTCTACTTTTGGTTTACATACTCAGTTTTTTTGGCTGTAGAAGTGTATGTTTGGTTGGTTGTGAAAGCAGAAAAAACACAGGTTTTGGATGGGGAAATTGCAGCATTTGGGACCTAGGAGATTTGGGGTAGGGTTGAACCTTGGGGTCCACATAATGGGTTTCAGACAGCATGCAGGCCATACTTTCCTCACTCCAGTTTATGCATCATAATTCATGTTTTGCAATTCAGTAGGAAAATATGATGCTTTCGTGTTTTATTATTTCAGTCTTTTCACGCTCCTTTAAAATGTGCAAAAAATTTTATTTTGAATACTTTTGATATTTTTCTGATTTATTTTATGAAACTAAAGTGTGTGAATACTTAGTTTTTCAGTAGGAAAAAGAAGGTAATGTAGCTTAAAAGAGTGACAGCTCATTAAGTACCAGATGCCTTATTTACCCCTCCTCTCCTCTGAATTTTTTACATCAATTAACACTGTATCAAAAACTCTTGTATTCTTTGTTATCTTTTTACAGATTGGAAGTTAGAGACCCTGAAGCGCCAAGATGTCAACCAGGTACCTCTTTGTATCTAGTTCACAGCTTATTAATGTTTCATTTCAGTTTAGGCTATCATGAAGACATACAAGTGTCAGAATAATTTATAATGCTAGCTAAATACAATAATTAAACATTTCCCCTTGAGTTTTATATCCAAATATTCTATTGACTCATTCAGCATTCACGGTATCTTAGACATGATAAAGAAATGGGAGTGTGCTGGGGGATAATTAGCCCTTCCATTTTGTAAGTAATTTCCCCCTCTGTCTTTCTTTGTGATATAGTGTCAGTGTTGCTGTTAATCAGAATATCACTTTACACCCCTAATTTGCAAGCAGAGTCTCAAATGGGTTTCCTTTTAATATGGCAATGCTCAGTAAGCTTAGGAACATTATGGCTGTAATCCTGTTGGGATTTTGCATTACTTCTGCATATACAAATGATTGCACAAGGAGGTATCCAGTGCCTTCTTATTCATTCATTCTCCCATTCATTTGCAATGCAAGAGCACCTGTGCACATTTTTGCCCCTCCCTCCCCAAGAATTCACCAGTTGAGCTAGCAAGCTACCAGTTGTATTATACCACCTTATTGTGTTTTTGTAGCATGCACCTCTCATTCTGCCTCCATAGTGTCTCCCTCCCTTTGCCAAAATTGGGAAGTTTATCTTTTTTTCCGCAATTTTACAAAGATTTTTCCCCACTGCTGTGCTTCCATGCACTTTTAATTTTGTTAAAAAGTGCAATACATAAGAATTTATAACCCCTCAAACACAAAAACCGCTGATTTGAACTAGCTGTATCACCTTTATGTTATAATATCCCTAAAGTCTTATTTTCATCATTATCATGAGAACATTGTTGTTTGTTTGCAGGCTGATATAGCACCATTGATGACTTCTCTTATTGGAGTCCCTTTCCCCCTGAATTCTGTGGTAAGACACATACTTTTTTGCTATTACTGAATAGGTGAGATTTGGAATTCTACCTAGGTATGCTATTTATACGTATACTGGCATAGATTCTACACAAATCAAAGACCTAGCAAATCAGCTGAGGAGCGAGCTGAAGAATTCTAGCTTCCTTCTTGAATTAGGCATTTCTCGTCCTTCCTTGAAACCCACGGATTTTTTAAATCGAGTCGTTGAGCTGAGGATTATTTTTGCTCTTCAGGCATGTCTAGTGATGGCCAGCTAAGTAATGCCAAATGCAGAAGCTGCTGTCACTGTCTTTTTATTCTCAAAAGTCATGCTTAGCTCTGGGGTTTTGGAATCAGGACAGTAAGTGGGCTGTGCTCTAGCTACTGTTTGTTTTACAGGCATTGTGAAAAGCAAGTCATTCTGTCAAGGAATTTTGAACATCATTTGGACCCCCTTCCCCAGGTCTCATTACATCTCTCACAGAAATCACAGGCTAACAATTATACACATTTACAAACAGTTTCTGGAGGCTTGGAAGGTTGCTATTTCTAACACTGTCTATTTCTAGGTTCCTCTAAAGAGGGTATTAGGTCTCCTGGAACAGGTTTACCTATCATCAAAATCTAGAACTATTTGAGAATCAATATTGTGGTTCCATGTGTATTGTCCAATTCAGAATTTTCTTTCTCAGTCTTGTTAGATTTTGTCATAATGAGAGGATCTGGGAACATCATCATGGAATCTCAATTTTTCATATCTAAGAAGGCATGTATGAGAGAAAGAGGGGAAAAAAGGAGCAGATGGAAATGAATAATTTGCAGAAAGGAGCCATTTGGTTACTGGCCTTCTTCTGCAAATCTCTGACTGTTTCTTGCCTCAGAGTTGAAGAAGCAGAAACTGGGAAGTGTTCCATGAAATCCACAGATGGAACTGGAGACATAGCTTAATATTTTCCCCTAAAATTGGTAGCTTATAACCCCAACAAATAATATTAGTTGCTGGGCAAACAACAATTTGTTTCTGAGCAAAGTACAAAGTGTTGGTTTTGACATTTAAAGCCCTAGATGATTTGGATCCCAGTTACCTATATGATTGTCTTCTCCTGTACAATCTGCTCCAAACACTGAGGTCTTCTGGGAGATGTCTATCCAACCAGCCAGAACCCAACTAGCATCCGTCACCCAGAGGACCTTGGCTGCCCCAAGACTTTGGAAGAGCTCCAATAGCCAGATTAGCTGTCAAAAATTAAAAACACATCTGAAGACCTATCTCTTCCAGGAGGCCTACCCAGCCAGTATGAATAATGAATTTTAAACTCATATTCTGTGTTTTAATCTTTGCTCTATGTATTTTAAGATGTATTTTATAAAAATATGTTTTAATACTTGTATCTTATAGAATGTTTAAGATAATTATGTTGTAATCTGACTTGAGGAGAGGCAGGTAAGAAATAAAGTTATTATTATTGTTAGTAATAATAATAATAATAATAATAATAATAATAATAATAATAATAAAATAAAAAAACATCTGAGCATCTTGAGATGTGTCTCCAGTTCTCTATGGATAAGATCAGAACTGCAAATATACATAGAATTGCAACTCCCTTTCTCATGATCTGCAGCAAACGCAACCTCGAATTTTACAGTTCATGTGGGGTGCTTCTATGTTAATCCCTCCATGGGAAAATAGCTTAGGAGGAGGAGGAGGAGGAGGAGACGTGCTTTTATGAAGATTAAGTGGCAAGTGTGGTCAAGAAAGCAAGTTTTATATGGAAAGAACACACATATATGTATGTGTGCATGTAACTGAAAGGGGTTTCGCCAAAAAACTATGAAATCTATCACTTGTTCTTCAGCATGCAACAAGCCTTCCATTCATTTGCTTCTGGCTATATAGTCAGTGGCTTTGAAAAGGATATATACAAGCATTATTTTATTGTATAGAACAATCTTGGCTCCCTAGTGAAAACTACAGTCTGATTTTCTAGTCTTGTATCATGTGAATAAACTGTGTTGCCTTTTTACAGGGTGTTTTGCCGCTGGAGTACCTCAATACCAGTGATCATTTTAAAGCAGAGAGTATGTTTACAAATGCTGTTCAGCATCTTGAACAATTTAAGGTAAATAAGCTCTTACTGAAATGAAAGCATTTTGCATTAAGATTAAGTAAATTAGATGAAACTAAATTAATGGCCTGATCAGATCAAAACAGTTTAAATGTTTTAAATGTAGCAGTCAGTTACTATCCTACAAGGCTATAGTTAATGAAAGATGCAATTTTGTTTTATTAAGACACTTTATCATGATTTTATAAGGTCCAGGGTTCAGTTCTTTTGTTATATCTGGTTTACGTCTTGACATGAATTTTTAGTTCTAGAATAAAACTAGTCAAACTTGAAAAAAAACAGTTTAAATGTTAAAACTGCAACTGAACACTTATATATATATTATCATTGTAATTTAAAGTGATAGAATGTAAGAGTAATTCAGCAATAGAAACAATTGCCAAGACAGGTGGTGAGATCTTACTCTCTAGACCAGGGGTCCTCAAACATTTTAAACAGAGGGCCAGGTCACAGTCCCTCAAACTGTTGGAGGGCCAGATTATAATTTGAAAAAAGCATGAATGAATTCCTATGCACACAGCACATATCTCATTTGTAGTGCAAAACACTTAAAAGCAATATAATAATTATAATGAGGAACAATTTTAACAAATATAAACTTATTAGTATTTCAATGGGAAGTGTGGGCCTGCTTTTGGCTGATGAGATAAGGTTGTTGATGTTATTGTTGTTGTGTGCTTTTAAGTCATTTCAGACTTACAGTAGGTTGACTCTGAGCGAGGGCTGGGCAAATGACCTTGGGGGGCCGGATCTGGCCCTCGGGCCTTGGTTTGAGGACCCCTGCTCTAGATCATCAGTTTTTAAAGTGTGTGGCGAGGCCTTGGGGGGGGGGGGGCTTGTTCATGACAGCACTAGAAAGGAGGGCACTGCACCGTGATGCTACAGGCGCCGAGGGGCACATGCTGGGGCCCCAGACCCCGCCTTCCATCCTTCCTTCTTTCCTTAGCCTTCCTTCCTTCTCCCTCTCTTGCCTGCTTCTTCCCTCCACTCTCTTGTCCAACCAGACTCCACTGTCAAGGAGGAGGAAAAAGCCAAGACATGATTGAACCTGGCTGCTGCTGGGAATGCCTCGTAAAGCCTGCCCTGGATTACAAAGCCCTGCTCCTTCTCCTCCTCTTCCTCCTCCTCATTCTATTACTGGGAGCAGAAACGCCTTCCTTGCTTTTCCTACCTAGCAAAAGGAGGTTGGACTGGACGGCCCCTGGGATTGCTCTTTTTATTATTATTATTATTATTATTATTATTATTATTATTATTATTACTACTACTACTACTACTACTACTACTACTACTACTACTACAAAGGCTGGATGGCCATCTGTTGGGCATGCTTTTACTGTGCCTTTTCTGCATGGCAGAATGGGATTGGACTGGATGGCCCTTGGGGTTGCTCTTTTTGTTGTTGTTGTTGTTACAGAGGCTGGATGGCCATCTTTTGGTGGTGCTTTGATTGTGCTCTTCTTGCATAGCAGAAGGGTGGTGGAATGGATGGCCCCTGGGGTCTTCAACTGAAATATTGTTAAGTTTATGTTGGTTAAAATTGTTCTTGATTTTAAATATTGTATCTTTCTTTCTTTCTTTCTTTCTTTCTTTCTTTCTTTCTTTCTTTCTTTCTTTCTTTCTTTCTTTTTCGTACTACAAACGAGATATGTGCAGTGTGCATAGGAATTTGTTCATGGTTTTTTTTCAGTTAGTTCACACAACTACTCTCCATCTGCCACTGGCCCAGCCCATCTGTCAAATTTTAAAGCACAAAGTGTCCACCGTATACAAACATTTACCTATGCCTGATATATGCACTTTATATATAATATATAAACATTTCTTGGGACACCACAATAAACTTTTGCTTCAAAACGTGCTCCGCAGTTGAAAAAGTTTGAGAACCCCAACTCTAGACCGTAGCTTTTCAGACATTTCATGTTAGGGACACGCTTTTTAGACATGCAACATTTTGCGACACAATAATTCTATTTTACTACTGAACTGGTGGTTAAAACAACCCATTATAAAGATACAGATACATACTTAAATTGTAATAAGGAAATGTGTGTAATAAGGAAATGTATACCTCATGAAAGGTCCCCTGGTGACACCCCATGCCGTCATGCTGGCCACATGACCTTGAGGAGTCTACGGACAATGCCGGCTCTTTGGCTTAGAAATGGAGATGAGCACCACCCCCCAGAATCGGACACGACTAAACTTAATATCGGGGAAACCTTTACCTTTACTTTTTATAGCTCATGAAAACTGTTCATTTATATTTTTAAAAATATAAACAAGCAATATGATTTATTGCTTGTTTCACGGACATTGTTCATTATGTTCATGCAGCTCACCTACACACTGCAACCAACACACTAATGTGTCATGACACACAGTTTGGAAGGCTCTGCTCTAGATATTTGTTGCTATAGCTGGAATTGATGAATTGAGCAGGAGCCGTTTGAATTCAGTGGCTTTGAGTTCTCGTTTAATTCTGTGATATTTAAGGATTACGTGCTTACTCTTAGAACACTGTATTCAGAAATAAGAATCAGTAGCATTAAGAAAAATAGCTTAAATCTTTTCACATCGCTTTGCAAATAATAACTTCAACATATATTCGAGGAAATTGCATTGCAATGGGGAATTTAATTTCTAAGGGTCATGTTCTCAATAGTCGGTTTGAACCGATGCTACTGAAAGCAGTGCCTTCTAGCAGAATGGTAGAATCCATCCTGGAATTTAATTCTATTCTTGTTAATGGCTGTTTCTGGCAATTCTCAAAGTGCTCTGCTGGCATGCATCCTATTCAGGCAACTGGGACTTGAATCAGAAGCACTGGCTGAGCTAGGCTTTAGATTTCCTCTATATCTGCGATTGAACTGTTCTCATTACAATCTGTGCTTGCAGGTTCTGATACGTGCCAAATAAAACTACAAATGAATGTATTGGACTTTGAACCTCCAATCTGTTTGAGACTGGGATACTTCAAGGGCTTTTTTGTTCTTGTGTGTGCTTGTCCATCAGTTAAGTATAGCGAGAAGGGCCTTCACCCACTGATATCTGAAGCAAAGTTTGGAAAGTGTACATTCTGGAACTACTGCTTCCATAAACCCACCAGCCAACTTGGCGATACTCTTTTTCTGATTTCATCTTGTTCTGCATCAGAGGCATTAGTTTCACTCAGTACTGTTTTTATGGAGCTAGAAAAAACCCCAGGGATAGTAAAAACATTGTTGAGTGTGCCCAATATGTGGTGGAGGGCCTTAGTTCATCTCTTTCATGTCTAAAACATCTCCCCATAACGTCCATTGTCTTTTATCATGTTCACTGGGGCTGATAGAAGAAACATGTGGAGGGACAAATGTGCCCCAGCCCATTTAAGATGTTGGGATGGGGCCATAGGAGAATGTTGCAATATGTCTCCAGTATTCCTTCCAAAGTTTTTGTCTGTCTTAAGTTTGAAAACCTACACCCTCCCACTATTTATTTATTTAGAACATTTATACCCTGTCCTTCTCAACCTCCAAAGAGGGACTCAGGACAGCGTCCAACAGGCAACTATTCGATGCCGACACAATATAATAACGGAACATAAAATACAATGAGCACACATTAAAAACAGTTAAAAATATAAATTAAAACAGTTTGCCAGTTCAAATCATCATCCAAATCAGTCCATTGCGGTCCACTAAAAACTTATCTTCACCAGTAAATCAGTCTATTCTGCAAACGCTTGATCCCACAGCCAGGATTTGAGTTTCTTCTGGACGATTAGGAGGGATGGGGCAGATCTAAACTCATAAGGGAGGGAGATCCACAGCCAAGGGGCCACCACAGAGAAGGCGTTATCTCACTTCCCCACCAAATGCCACTGTGATGATGTTGATGATGATGATAATGATAATAATAATAATAATAATAATAATACTTCATTTATATTCTGCCCTTCTCACCCTGAAGGGGACTCAGGGCGGATCACGGTAAACATACATGGCAAACATTCAATGCCGTTTTCTATAGACAATACACAGACAGACAGAACAGAAGGAGGTGGTTTGTTTCGACTCAGTGTCCAGCTGTTTTTGGTGCCATGGAAGGTTGGGCTCAAATCCAGGGAGTGCTGTTGCTCTATCCTCTATGACACAAAGCCATCAGGACTTCCTCCTTTCTTTTGATCACCCAGCATTTTTCTGATCTTTTTTCTTTATGGCATCGTAAAACACCTCCCCCGCTTTTAGCGGTACCTAATTTCTCTAATCACAGCTAAAGTTGTTTTTGCATTGCTTAGGTAAACAATGAGCTAGGCTGACAGTTGGCAGCTCATGCCAACCCGGGGCTTCGAATTTTCAGCCTTTCGGTTGATAGATCCACAGCCCGATGACAGTGGGACCGAGAGCAGGGCCTCGCCGAACGATCTTAAGGTCCTTGGTGGTTTGTAGAGGGATATACGTTTGGACATGTAAACTGGACTGGAACTGTTTGGGCTTTATAGGTTAAGACCAGCACTTTGAATTGTGCCCAGAAGGTAATAGGCAACCAGTGGGCCTGGCATAACAGGGAAGTTGTATGCTCCCTGTACCTGCTCCCATGAGCAACCTGGCCGCCGAGTGTTGGACTACCTGAAGCTTCTGAGCAGTCTTCAGAGGCAACCCCACGTAGAGTGCATTGCAGTAATCTGTTCAAGATGTAACCAGACTGTGGACCACTGTGGCCACTACTTACCAGCTTACTAGTCATAGGGTTTCAATCTTATGCGGGTTATCTGGAAGCAAGCTCCGTTGTGGCTTACATCTGTGTTAATGTGGCCACGCTATAAATTCCTGAAAGAGATGTCAAATGTAACAAATGTAAAAGACAAAAAATATTTTATATTTTTCCTGCTCCATTTCTTCCATTGCATACACTGTTATTTATTTAAGATAGTAATTTCACAAAAAGTCATTTTTGTTACCACCTTTGGTTATCTAATTGTTCATCTTTAGGTTAAGATGGCTCAGAAGAAAAAAACTACACTACCATTTCTGTTTTCGCCATTCAAGTAAGTATATTTTTCATATCTACATGCTGCTGTGTTTACTTACAAGGTATCTCTCTCCCTGCCTTCTGTTCCATCATGTACCAGTAAGAAACAAGCAATAAATAAAGTGACAGCATTTGCTGAACACTGCTCTGAGACTAGTCCATATCAATACAAGAATCTTGTGCAGAAATAGTGCTTGGTGGGTTGAGGAAATACAACTCAAAGACTTATAGCTGGAGAAAGACACATCTATCCTGGATATCTTAGTAATATTTTATAAGGTGGAAGTCATTATTACTTACAACTAGAGGGCAGAATGTTTTTCAGACAGTGATGATGAAAAGCAAAGATAGCTGTGTTGGGTGTAATAAAAACAGCTCTCAAATCTATATTAATGTTACACCTTTATTAAAGACAACCAAAAGTTGTGAAAGCTTTTGATATCTTTTCCTCCAGAAAGTAGGTTTGGATTTTGGTGAAGTAAAAGAGAAGGAAGGAAAAAGTAGAAGAAAGCTGACTTGCGGTTGACTAGTGTCTGCATCATCACAATCTTGATGTTCTATTGTTCCTCTTCTGCAGCACCTTATTTCTGACACGGTTGTTAATTTACTACATGTTGGACAGTCCTCCCTAAACTGGTACCCATCCATGCATATCTCCAGATAGTATGCTAGCTGAGAGTGATGGAAATGGTAGTCTATAACATTTAGAAAGGACTAAGTTGGGGGAGTTAGGAGAACGAAGTAGGAGACATAGCATATTGGTACAGTAGAATGCTTTTGGGGGAAAATAGACCTTGACATATGCGAGTTGTAGTTACTGGGATGTATAGTTCACCTATAATCAAAGAGCATTCTGAACTCCACCAATGATGGAATTGAACCAAATATGGCACACAGAACTCCCACGACGAACAGAAAATATATATCAGTGATTGGTTTGCGCGGAGGGGGGATGCTGTTTGCTTTACTGTTGAAAATTACCTAGGGTTGCCTCTGTTTGTAATGCAGAGCAACATATATACAGTCATGTTAACAGTTGCATTGACTCACACAATGTCCTTTTTGAGAGTGATTCAAATGGTCTTTTGGTGTCCATGTGGAAGATCTTCTTCCAACTGCTCATGAAACAAGAACTGTCTCTCTCTGTAACCTCCTGCACAGCCAAAGCCTAAATATGTAACTGTTGCCAAAACTCCCAGGCTCAGCTAGCTTCTTGAGAATGGTCCAACCAATCAGCTTTGTGCTTTGCATTTTAAGTTAACACATTCACCAATTGATTTTTTTACATGCTCTAGCAAAGTTGACTCCAAATTTCAGAGGGTATTCTTGGCAAGATTTGTTCAGAGGAGAACTTACCATTGAAAATTGTCTGCTTTGGTATTGATATTGATGGTGAAAACGTTATTGTCTGTCTACCTTCATATTTAGATAGAGGGCTAAAGCCTTTAAAACAAGTCCCATGTGTAACCATTTTTGACTGGAAAAGCTAGTATCCTGATTCTTTCATTATGCATACTTAGCCTTTGCAACATGAGCAGGAGAGTGTTTGTCTTAAACTGCATTTGTGCTACTTTTCCGCAGCTTCCCCATTAAGCCTCTTTTACTCCCAAGTGTCTTGCATCACGTTTTCCAGGCCCTCCGGCTAAAACATCTATTTCGAGTTCCTGCTGAAGTCTTCTGACTCCACTGCAGTGTTGGTTTAGAGAAAGAGCTATACTTCCCATCCCACCGGCCTTTAATTGACCCTGATCCTAATTTACATGCAAAATACTGAAATATGCAAGTGTTCCTTCTCTGTTTTTTTGCTTGCAGGCATTTTTAAAAATCCGCTTTATCAACAGGGGTGCATGCAATTTACTAGGGTGGGTGTTTATGGAAATTGAGGGATGTAATTTCACATCAACAGATGTCCATCTTGAACAGAGAGTGCTTGTATTTAACAGAAGGCTTGTTGGTGTACTGAAGATGTAGCTAAACATATGCTAAGAAAACCCTGTTGTGTATATCTGAGGCTCTTTTAAAGAGTGTGTGTGTTGTGTTAAGGAAGGAAAAACACTGCAAGAAACACATATGTACAGCAGATTGCATCTAATACAAGCACAGATCTTCCTCTTCAAATTTTTCTTTCCTTTTACTGGTCCTGCGGGGGCTGCGCTAGCACTCCTGGAGAAATGGCATCTTTAGATAGTAATGATAGGAATCATTGGCCATACTGATGTCTCTTGAGACTATTATATTGGCTTTTTTTTTATTATAGACTTAGTGTCTCAGCTGTCAGGTGCTGTTTCTTTAGCTGGAAGACACGAGCGATGTGGTGGAAATATTAAACTTGTCAGGTATACTCCCAAGGAGAGTAAGTAACGCATCTTAAGGGACAATTTATAAATCTTTACGCAATTAGTACTGATGTTTTGTTACATAATTAATTGCCCTTACACATGAGTGACGTTGTTATTTATATTCTTCAGACTAAGTAGCATTTGTCTCAACGATGATGATAAGCCATTGTCATTTCAGAGGCTATAATCCCATGCCTCTTGGGCCTTCTCACTACTCCACGAATGCAGTCATCCATAAGATCTGTTTAGCATTAGTTCATATTTTTCAGATTGCGTGCAGGCAGATTCCCTCTATATATTGAGTAAGGGTACACTTTACCAGAGCCTGGTGTAGTTATGAGGGAGGGGGTAAAGTGGGACCATGCCCCTAAATTATAATTCCCCCGCACCCGAAATGTTCATCCAGTCCACAAATTTGTAGCATTATAGAGAACGAGACATTGAAATCATTCACACCTAGTACTCTTATATACAAAGACCTCCATGGAAACCCACTGGGTGATCATAGGCAAGTTGCGCACTCCCAGCTTCAGAGGAAGAAAAAACAAAGCCGGGCTTAGCACAGCAGGCTAAACCACTGTGCTGCAGAAAAATCCTGTTGATTGGAAGATCAGCAGTTTGAGCCCAAGGCAGGGTGAGCACCCGCTATTAGCCCCAGCTCACCTGCATACCTAGCATGTCAAAAGCAGAAATGCAAGCAGATAAAATAGGTACAGCTTTTAGTGAGGAGGTAATAAAAGAGTCCTTAAGGACATAGATCGGAGAAAGGTCCTCGGCATGGAAGATGGAGCAACAGGCCGGAGAACAAGCACAGCCTCCAAGATGCTGGAAATAAGATGGAAAAACTGCCTTACCTCTGTTTGTGTTGTCCATTGTCACATTGCCAGGGCTCTGCCTTTACAGAGCCAGAGATGAACCCAAACAAAAACCCAGTTTGTATAAACCAATTTAATTAAAACAGCACTTACTTTCTGGCTGTTTTAATAGTCCTAAATGTAAAACATAAAGATTGCACTCAGCCACAGAATACAAAACAAAAACAGCGAACACTGTTGCAGGTTCAAGATAACTCCGTAGTCAAAAGGTCCAGTCTAGTGGTCAAATGCCAAGAGTTCAATAAACAAAGTTCAGGGATCAAAAGTCTATACCATAGTCAAAAGCCAGTCCAAGATTCAAGGTTCCAGGATTCCAAAGGTTCAGGATACAGGTCAAGACACCAAAAATCCACAAACCTGGGGGAAAACCATCATCATCTACCACCAAAATAAGACAAATACTTTTCTCCCAAAGATCAGTCCCAAGGCTAGCTCCTTATATCCAGAAACACCCAGCTGCAACCCATCTCTTGCATACCTCCACCCTTAATTGATTTAACCCATGAACTCTTACTTACAGATTATTCAACCCTTTAGAACTAAGACTTACATTAACCCTTCCATCATCAACTGCTAGGCCTATCACCACCAACCACCATCAACTGCAGAACATGATACATGACATCCATCCCTGTTAATTGTATAATCGGCATTGAATGTTTGCCGTAGGTGTGTTCTGTAAGCCGCTCTGAATCCCCTTCGGTGTGAGAAGGGTGGGGGTATAAATACTGTAAATAAATAAATAAATAATGTAATAAAGCCCTTCTGGACAAACATTGCCAAGAAAATCCTGTAATAAGTACACTTTAGGTTGACGCAAGTTGCTCTTTCTGAGAGTTTTAGATCTTTCTGAGAGTTTTGTTTGACCATGAAATGTGCATTTGAAATATCTCTGCTTCTAGAAGAGAATAGAAACTACTCCCACTTGGGCTGTTAGATGAGACTGACAAGGAACAACTGGAATGAATGCTCCGTGAAGTGTGCATGCTCCTGTGGGGTTTTCTGTACAATGCTCAGAGCCATAGCTAGTCTCTTTATCAAAATGTTACAAAATAGTTTTCAAACCTGTGAGATTCTCAGGCTGATGTTATTATGAAGAAAAACATTTCAAAAGTAGGTCTTTTTAAAAAATAAAAATAAAAATTGTAACGGAATAATTTACATTGTTTTGATGGCACATGGGATCGTATGTCAGGGCARGAAAGTTGGGAGAGCAATACTTGAGGCCTGAGCTTTCCCTTGGTTTTCATTAGATAAGGAGCTGCATTGCGGTGAGAAGCAAAGGTCTGGGTTGATGCCTGGGGGTCCATAAGCAAGTAGCAGTGGCCTTGGACACCCCCCCCCCCATTTGTTCCATATCCTTCTCTCAGAGCCAAAGTTAGGGGATGGCTGGTCTGCTGGAGAAGCATCCTCCTTTCCAAGAATACCAGGGAATTAGCTTCTATAGAAAGAGATTGAGAAGGCGGCCTCCAAAGGGAGTTGGGAGGAAAGTGTTGCTGAAGAGTGAACAATTTTCGGAGTGGTTGCAAAGGTGCAAGGAGCTTACACGTTCTACGAGACTGGGAGGGTTATGGCTGGGCAATATAGGAAGGTCCATTTGACACATGGCCCAGGGACACTATCCCACCCATCTCAGTCATTTGGGAAGAGTGCCCATTATTCAAGGTTATACCAGATCCTTAAAATAGGGTATAGTGATTACTAATGCCATAAGACAGGTACTGGAGATTTCTATGCCTCGCAAATACTTAGATGTCACCAGTGTAACCTCAAAACTACTATTCTTGTTTCTCTTCTAAACGGTCCAGCATTTCTATGTTCTCAAATTATATACTGTGTCCAGGTTGGTTCATCAGGGCCAGCTAACACCTCCCAACAAAGGATCCCCAGGTAGCAATCAGCCAGGCTTTGAAATTGCAAGGCCATTGAATGCTAACCAAGGTGGCCAATTGCAACGTTCACACTTGCCTCAAGCAAACAAAAGTAATTTCTCCCACCTTGGACATTCCATAGAAAAATAAACCTTACTTTCCTAGTTTCCGACAGACCTCACAACCTCTGAGGATGCCTGCCATAGATGTGGGTGAAATGTCAGGAGAGAATGCTTCTGGATCATGGCCATACAGCCCAGAAAGCTCACAGCAACCCAGTGATTCTGGCCATGGAAGCCTTTGACAACACAGAAACACAGTTTATGAACATGTTGTGGGTTTTTTTTTTTTGCAAGACAACAGCTTGCTATTGCATTATAAAAAATATTAATTGAAGCAGCCAATATATAAAATGTGTGTTTCCGCTATTATTACTTCTTTTACCAACATTTTGATTTTTTTTCTTTCACATAGGTCTCTTTCTGATTCTGAGCAGATTAATATTCTCAGAAAAGCAAGAGCATCTATTCAGAATGAGAAATATGAAGAAGCAGTAAGTGAATTATCAAAATCCCTCTTCTTCCTGTTGTTCTAATTATTATTTTAACTAGTTATTTGTGAATTTTATAGTTTAACCTATCTTCCTTTCTTACTTTATGCTGTCTGGTGGCAGAATTTTAAAAAAATAAAACTAATATTTTACCATTGGTAGAAGGGTTTGATAAAGCCTCTTCCTATGCCTCCAGACTTTGAAGACTTTGAGCTCAGTTCCAAGTCAATATTAAAAACAACAGAAGTTGGACTGGACATCTTCCGAGTTTGTCCTAGTAAGCGTATTTTATTTGAGAAACGTGCAGTTTGGTTGATATGAACCACTACAAACATACACAAAATATGAACATAGAAAACTTCCTTATACTACCTCAGACCATTGGTCCGTCTAACTCAATATTGTCTATGCCAGGGAATGGTGGGACATGTGGCCATTCAGATGTTATTGGAGAGTATAATAATAATCATTAATTTGTAGCCTGCCCTATCTCCCCTAGGGGACTCAGGGCAGCTTCCAATATAATAAAGGCAAACATTCAATGCCTGTATAAAACAATACAATGCATTACACAAATTAAAACAAATAATTGAAATAATTATCATAGAATCATAGAATCAAAGAGTTGGAAGAGACCTCATGGGCCATCCAGTCCAACCCCCTGCCAAGAAGCAGGAATATTGCATTCAGTTAAATAGTTAACATGTAAGCCATTAAAAACCAGCTAAGGTGGAACATCAAATCCATTTCCTTTCCGTTACATTTTTCAATGTTGTAAACTCTATTCCTCCTTCTTGTCATATGCTTGTGAGCGTAATAATGTTTTATGTTGTTTTAAAAAATTGATTGAGGGGGCAATTTTGATCTCCTTGGGGAAGGCATGTCATTGCCCACATATGCAAGCTTTCATTTATATGCAAAGAGCTTTGAATACCATAAATTGTTCTCTCTAGGCCTCCAGTCCAATTCTGTGATCAACGTCTTCCAGAGCTTATTTTGGAAGATGACCATAAAATTGCACTCAAGGTCTAAAGAGAAAACTTATCTAGGTATTTTCTAGGCCAGGTCTCAACTGTGGGTCCCCAGATGTTTTGGCCTTCAACTCCCAGAAATCCTAACAGCTAGTAAACTGGCTGGGATTTCTGGCAGTTGTAGGCCAAAACACCTGGGGATCCACAGGTTGAGAACCACTGTTCTAGGTCCTCCAGAGCAATTCTGTGGATTTGGGCAGAAGCCCAAGTTCATTTTAGGTAAGAAAAATAGGGTTCAAGATTACATGGAAACTGTATTTTATGAAGCTTCCTGGAATGGTTCCCATGCATAATACATGGATGCACTGTACTTCCCAACAGCTACAGCCAACAGGTTTAGCTGCAGTGATGAAGACCTGGAGTGTTCTCTATAGTTTATACTGAGTTGCAGAAATATCTCGAGTTTTTGGACTGGGTTTTTTCTAGAGGTGTGCAAAATCTGTTCTGTTTTTTGTTTGGAATTTGCCCCCCCCCCCCCCCCCCCCCCCCCCGGTCCCCCATTCTGTTTTTGGAAAGATTCTTCCTGAAATGGAAACAGAAACCCGGACCCTGAATTACAAATTTGAATTTCCCCTCTCCTAATATCCTGGAATCTTCCCAAAAACAGAACCCAGGGGGGACGGGAGATCGGGAAACAGAACGAAAATATAACAGATTTCTGTCGTTTCACACATCCCTAATTCCTAGCTATATATACAAATGCCACGAACATGGATTTTTTTGCAGTCAAAAAGTGTGCTGTTCCATTTCCTCAGGGACCAGTTAACTCTTTGATTTATAACAGGGTCTAAGATCCTCAGGATGATAACTCCAGGGTGCTTTTAACCCTAGATTCTGAATGCCCAATGAGTTGCTATCTTGTGATCAAATGTTGTGTGCGTGTGAAATTTCTCATCCTGATATCAAGAATCTGAGTCTGTAGTGGGTCTTGATCAACATGTTTGAGAGAAGGACTGTCAGCCAGTGACCCAAGAGAAAAATAATGAGATGTAGGACTGGATCATCAAAGGAGGTGCCTCTCCTTTTCATCTCGGCACCCACAGAAGTTTGCCGTCTAATCTGAAACGAAAAGACACATCTTAGTTTGTTTTGTGGGAAGTTTTCCTTTACTGTCAGAGATTCCCTTTTTCTGACAAATTTGTAGGATCTGAATTTGATTGTGGGCCAAAGATAAAAAAATACACAAGAATGAGGGAAACAATGCTTTCTTATATCTGTGTCTTTTTTTCATGAAGGCCCAAACTACAAATGATACATGTGTTGTCAAAGGCTTTGATGACCAGAATCACTGGGTTGCTGTAGGTTTTCAGGCTGTATGGCCATGTTCTAGAAGTATTCTCTCCCAACGTTTCACCTGCATCTATGGCAGGCATCCTCAGAGGTAGTGAGGTCTGTTGGAAACTAGGAAAAACTAGGAAGATATATAAACCTAATTTTCCTAGTTTCCAACATCTGAGGATGCCTGCCATAGATGCAGGTGAAAAGTCAGGAGAGAATATTTCTAGAACATGGCCATACACCCTGAAAAACCCACAACAACCCTACAAATGATACAGATTTATATTGTGTCTCTAATTGTCTTAAAACATTGTCAGAAAAAAAAGGAATCAAGCAACTCAGCATCTATTCCAGTAGACAAAGGATCTAGGTTTATAAGATGTCTGACATTCTTTTTTCCCTTTCCATAGGTATCTCTTTGCAAAAATCTGATTAGCCTTTCTTTGGAAGGGCTGTCTTATTATCATACATATGACAGGCTCTTTCTAGGTGTGAGCGTTGCCATGGGTTTTATAGGCTGGACATTTTATGTGATCTTGGTGATCATAAAAGCACATACTTCTCTGACCAGAAATGTCACAATAAATAAGGTAAGTTGAAGTTTGCCACTCTTATAATCTATGTTTGCTCACTATATGACTATTGCAAAACTTATATTTGCACAAAACTGACTTCATGCTTGATGGATTTATCTATCTTCGTAAAACAGCTGAGAAAGTCAGTGAGATTTCCATTGTTTGCCTTCAAACTATACACAGATTTCCTTTCCTTTTTTACTGACTTTACACAAGTTTCACCGCCAAACTCGGTAGCATATGTAACCGACGACTTTTTCTGACTGGTACAGTTTGAGTCACAAAACCAGTTCAAACAGTATGCTAGGGCTTTAACAAACATTTATCAATTCACCTCAAGTGTTGTACAAGGTGGAGAGAAGAATATCTCTTTGCTTCTCATTCATCTCATGCTAAAATTTTATAGATGAATAACATCAAATAAATGTAAATATCTCAGTCTCACCTCATGTTCTCATTGCTGTACATATTTTATGAGGATACAAACTAGATTCAAATACTTTGTCAGCAAGTAAAGATACTTGTATTCCCACAGACTTTTAGAATTGAAAGGCTTTTTTTTTTAAAGGAAAGGCCTTTAAATGGGTGTAATACGATCAGCCGTCCACATTTGCTGGAGTTAGGAAGTGAAATCAGCAAATGTAGAGTGCTGATTGCATTGCTTTAACTTCTTTTATGTTTTTAAAGTGTGTGCTTTAATTTAAAATATTTTAAATAGTTTAATTCTATATTAATGACTTTCTCCAAGTTTTTAACTATTTTGTAATTAATTTAATTCGTAAACAACCTTGAGCCTTAATCTTGCTGAAAAGGCAGGTATTAATGATGATGATGCCTTTTAAACATTCATGTCTGTTTTTATTATCATTCTTCATTTTATCTGAAGCACTTCTTGAGCATTTTCATTTACTAATACGTATTTACAAGTACTGATGTATTTTTCAGGTGGCTGGCAGTCTATTCCAGAGTACATTTCTTGCTGTTGGAATATTCATAATCATTTTCCTGGCCATTCAGAGCTTGCCTTGGACTTATTACATCTATTGTCTGTTACCAGTCCCAATATGGTATGCAGTTTTGAAAGAGTAAGTTGTAAAAAAGTTGGGGGGAGAGATGGGTTGGAGCTACACTGCTGTTTTCTAATATGATTTTAAATAACTGCTTCGCTGGGCAGCTGTGTTTCCCCTTCCCAGGGCGATTGTGCCCCGCTTTGTGCTGGTCAGTGACCATAATAAAGTTTTGTATTGTATTGATAGCACAGGAGATGAATGAATGCAGTCTTTTCTGCTTGAATTTCCTGGTTTTGGAAATGTTTCAGGTGTAGTGGCTTCCAAAAAGAAACTAGAAGTCCTTCCAGGCCCTATATCCCAGGATCTGATCCCAGATTTTCTGTTTATCCCACGTTATCTGGCAGTGTGGACACATATAATCCAGTTTAAAGTAGAAAATCTGGATCCTGGGATATAGTGCCTGTCTCAAAGGACCTTAGGTTTATGAATTGGTGAATGATCCTAGGCTGGTATTTTCAAGTTAAAACAGGAGTGGCCAAAAGGGAGCTCTAGATCTGAAACCTGTTAGATTTCTTGCTGATTTATAGACGATCAATCTGATTTTTTGATGGAGAGAAATAGATTTTCCCCACTTAAATCTGACTGAAAAGAAGGAAGTTTGGTTACTGGTGGCCTTTTGTTCATTCAATAAGATGACAATTTTGTTCCCCTCTTGCAAACAAATCGCTAGGTTTTAAATACTTCAAGAGAGATCCTATCCTTTTATTAAGGTCCCTTCTATACTGCCATATAAAATCCAGATTATCTGATTTGAACTATATTATATGGCAATGTAGACTCATATAATCCAGTTCAACCAGATAATCCAGTTCAAAGCAGATAATGTGGATTATATGTATTATATGGCAGCGTAGAAGGTGTCTAAGAGCATGTCTTTTTCCTCTCATTCTGGTTTACTCTAATAAGTAGGAGCCCCAGGTGGCGCAGTGGGTTAAACCCCTGTATCGGCAGGACTGATGACCGACAGGTCGCAGGTTCGAATCCGGGGAGAGCACAGATGAGCTCCCTCTGTCAGCTCCAGCTCCTCATGAGGGGACATGAGAGAAGCCTCCCACAAGGATGGTAAAACATCAAAACATCCGGGCATCCCCTGGGCAACGTCCTTGCAGACGGCCAATTCTCTCACACCAGAAGCGACTTGCAGTTTCTCAAGTCACTCCTGACATGCCAAAAAACCCCCCAAAAAACAAAAACAAAAACTCTAATAAGTAAAATTTTGAGAGTGTAGTAAATAAATGAAGCATTCATGCCCAGTTTTATATGATTCTGTTAGTGAGGAACAGTGTAGAAACAGAATGATTTTAACTTCTGGAGCAAGTACATAATACAGAGGAAAGGTAATTGGATAACAACATTGCTTACATTGCTAGCATGTACAAGATCCTATCCTATCTTCTATATAGATAGAAGCTGCAGATATTGTCATTACTTGTTACGATATTTTGGCTTCTAGCATTCAGTTACAAGTCAAGTGTCCCTTATCCAAAATGCCTTAGAACACAAGTGTTTTGGATTTCGGATTTTAGAATACCTATATTTGCACAGACATACTTCATGATATATCTTGGAGATAGGAACCATTAAATTAATTGAGATTTCATATACAACTTATACAGATAGACTGAAGTTAATTTTGTACACAATCTTTTTCATAATGTTGTGCATGAAGCAACATTTCTGTACATTGAACCATCAGAAACCACTGTCTCAGCCAATCAGTATGGAAACTTTTGAATTTTTGAATAATCCAGATTTTGGAATTCTGGTTAAAAGGATGCTCAATCTGGAATAAAATTCAGAAGGCCAGTATACTATAAATGAATAGTTCCACAGCAGACTTTTTAAAAATGTAAAATGTTTTTACATCATAACAGTATGACAGTAAATAATTTAAAATATTGCTTTGATCTCATCCCCTCTCCCAGTCATAGACGTGTACAAAATATTTCTCTGTTAGTCCTCTTACTAACAAGTTTTCCTCTACTTAATTTACTGTTATTTTTAATATAGTTATATCTTTACCTAGTTATTTATCCAAAATCTGATCTAATGGTGGTTAAAATCTGCTATCGCTACGACATACCTATTTATTTATTTATTTACTTCATTTCTACCCCTCCTTTCTCAACCCTGGAGGGGACTCAAGGCGGCTTACATACCTGACAAAAATTCAATGCTGCACAGGTAAACAATAAGACACATCTCATTAAATTATTATAAAATCTCAGCATATAAGCAATTAAAACACATATCAATCAATAAAACAGACTAAAAACCATATAAAATGCTAAGTCATGATCTTATATCCATATCCTGTCTAATAAACATCAAATCATCTGGGCGTCCCCTGGACAACGTCCTTGTAGATGGCCAATTCTCTCACACCAGAAGTGACTTGCAGTTTCTCAAGTCGCTCCTGACAAGACAAAAAAAATATCTAATAAATGATTCAGATAGTCTCACACGGATGCTCTTTTATTTCTCTTCTCTGTAATCTTACTCTTTATGATTTTTTTTGATACAGGTATGGCCCATATTCTGTTTAACCAACTTCGCATCGATAAATGTTCTAATGTATTCCATACTTTGACTATCTTTGCAGAGAATATAAGAAATGATATAAGGTCTTTATTTAGTAGATTCTCATTTTCGTTTTTCAATAAGGAGATAAGAAGTAATGCCCTTCCAAAATGATTGCTCTTCAGTGGAAGTGTGTACATAGAGACTGTTCGCTGCAATGGAAAAAAGGGCAGAATATCAATATTCATTAGTTAAAGGAAGGATAAATATAAAATTTGAGAAGTTATGAATAATATGAGAAGATAATAAAGAAGGTAGGCTTTCTGAGTTGCTCTATGGCTCCTTCTACACTACCATATAAAATCCAGATTATCTACTTTGAACTGGATTATATGGCAGTGTAGACTCATATAATCCAGTTCAAAGCAGATACTATGGATTATCTACTTTGATGATTTGTATTGTATAGGAGTGTAGGAAGGTACCTATGTAATTCAATTTTGCTTTCTAGCTACTGAAGGCAACACTGTGATCCAATCCAGTGGATAATGTTTGGGTCCTTTAAACACTTTTCTAGAAGATGTGTGTTTACTGATTTGTCTCTCTAATTCAGGATTTTTTTTTCTCTGTGAACACTGATTTATTTTAATCCCTGTTTTTCTCCCAAGTGTACAACCCAATTTATGTAGCAAATACTTCTGCCAGTTGGTTTGAACTTTCCAAAGTAAATAAATAATCTTAAGTCGTATTCTCTAGATTCATGCTAGAGATACTTGTTTGCTTCCTGCTCATTAAAAGTCTCTGTCATACACCACTGTATTTATGTGTTTACTAATAAGCATTTAATCTAGTAAGAAGTGATTGTCTAATGAAATCTTTTCTAACAGATACCCTGTTATTCAAGGACTGATCACATTTCTCTTGAACTTTCAACGGACCCAGTTTGTTGGATTTTTGCTAGTTTACACCTTGGGAATTGAAATATTGGTAAGTAACATACTTAATTACTTGCTTTGGAAAATGGCTTGTTAAGAAGCCTCTTCAATATAAAGTCTAACAAAATAAAGCAGCATAAATCAGGAGTGAGCAACTGCATGGGGAGAAGGAGTCTATTTCCCTTCTTTTGATACATCCATTGCATGCCTTCCTCAAGTAAAAAAAAATCCAAATATCTCCAATTTACTCTGTCAAAATGGGGCATCATTTTGAGAGGAACAGCACAAGAAAATGATGGACATTTGGTGATAGTGGGGGACTTGCCTATCTCCACGACCGTTTCCTCCCTTACGAGCCCTCGCGGTCCTTAAGATCTTCCGGGGATGCTCTTCTCTCGCTCCCGCTCCAGTCTCAGGCACGGTTGGTGAGGACGAGAGAGAGAGGGCATTCTCGGTGGTGGCCCCCCATCTCTGGAACTCCCTCCCCAGTGAGATTAGGCTGGCACCCTCCCTAGCCACATTCCGTAAGGAATTAAAGACATGGCTGTTTCGTCGTGCTTTCAATTGACGACTTCTATGACAAACGGCCTGTATCATGACCTGAATCATTATTTAATCTGATGTCCTATACTATATTAACTGAATTGTTTCTGATCCTGTTAATTGGCTGTTTCCATGATATTTCCTATGCCATTATATATTGTTATCCACCTTACTAAACCGCCTTATCCTTTAACCAGCTCACATAATGGCCTTCTTCCCTCGCTCCAAAATTAGTCTGCTGTTATTGTTGTTGCTAGCTATTATTGTTATGTTGTTTTACACTGTTTTATGCTGTCTTAATTGTTATTGCTTTGTTTTTAATTGTATTCTGTCTTGGGCTTGGGCCCCATGTAAGCCGCCCCGAGTCCCTTCGGGGAGATGGAGACGGAGTAGAAAAATAAAGTTCTCCTCCTCCTCCTCCTCCTCCTCCTCCTCCTCCTCCTCCTTCTTCTCCTCTTCCTCCTCCTCCTCCTCCTCCTCCTCTCCTCCTCCTCCTCCTCCTCCTCCTCCTCCTTCTTCTCCCCTCCTCCTCTCCTCCTCCTCCTCCTTCTTCTCCTCCTCCTCCTTCCTTCCTCCTTCTTCCTCCTCCTCCTCCTCCTCCTCCTCCTCCTCTTCTTCTGAATGGGTTTTAGGCCAAATGTACTTGAAAATCACATTCATCAACTGGGCAGGTTTTGGGGACTGGTGGAGGGCTTGAAGAACTGTATACTGCACTCTGCCTACCCTGTTGTAAATAAACTATTAAAGAAGGAGTGAACATAGTGTTAGTGAAAACTACCCAAAAATACAGCAGAGCATCAAAAAATAAACAGGATACTAAAGGTTGAGCATTCAGCTCACAGCTAGAAATACGTAGAGTGCTGTGTGATGCGGATGTAAAGCATTCAGAGAATGGGCAGGCAAAGATGCAGAATCCAATCTTTTAAAAAAATCACAAAAGGTTTACAATAATAAAGAACTAATTACATTTTTTCATGATAAAGAACTGGGTCTGAGCTACTCTAATACCCATCTCTTCTAAGGTTTCAAAGAGAGGGGAAAAAACACCAATCACGACATCTCCCTGACACACATGCAGAGAGATCTCTCAAAGCACACAGCACATACTAAGATGTAAGAGAATATAAGTCCAAGTAAAGGCTTGCAGTAGAAAAGTATCTATTCTACACAACCAGTCAGAATGAGAGCAGAAACAGAGAGAGAAGAAATAAATACATTCTCAACTGTCATGCATGAAACATGGGGAAAGGGAAACCCTTAGTCTAACTAACTGCTCCTCGTTGGGGACTTGAGACTTGGGCAGTGAGGGGTTGAACTCCAACACATAGAACATTTTCTAAGGAGTGCTGGGTAAGAGGATTTATTTTAAATCTGAGGAGAATATCAGATTTCCTAACTTGTCTATATGTATTTTTCTGTTTACTTGAACTAGGTTTTCTCCTTTTTCTATCGTGCAGCTCTCAGCTTTGGCCTGATTGCCTTTGCTGCATGGCCCTTGGTCACCCAGCTCTGGACCAAAGCAAAGGTATTTATTGTGCAAGGACTTTTGGATTGTTTTGGTGGGTCACCTTCACATCTTTCTTGGAAAATGTGAGGACATCATTGGAATTTTCCCTTAGAGTTTGGAGATATGCGGGACTTCTGTAAGAAATATGGCCCACCTCACTTTATAAGTTGGCTGGTCACAGCCAGCACTTGATTCTTAAATTGAAATGTATTGACTTAGAGTGCATTTCTACTACCTTGGAAATTCTCCCCCCTAATTTGTTCAGAAGTGGTTAGAATGTGGAAGGGTGGGTGTTTTTGTAATCTATATAAATAAAAATGTAATGTTCGTTTGTGGGATTAGCATAACTCAAAAACCACTGGGCGAATTGACATCAAATTTGGACACAATACACCTATCAGGCTAACGAGTGACCATCAATCATAAAAACACTGGAAAAAACAGCAGAAGAGGCTTAAGAAGCCAAAAAACAAAAAATACATTACAACGTATGCACAAAACCACATATATATACACAAACACACATATACACAAATATACACACACACACACATATATACACACAAAACACATATACACAGACTGGGCCATAGCAACATGTGGCAAGGGACGGCTAATTATACATATATAGTGTGGATTGGGAATGGCACTTAATGTCGTTGTACAATGTACAGTGGCAATAAAGTTATTCTATTATTTTATTCTAAAGTTATTCTATATTAGTACTGAACTGTGTTGGTGCTGAAACACATTCTTCCTGAAGGCATTTTCTCCATAATGATTCTGGAGCACAACATTTTAAACAGGCTCTAGCTCTGGAGTGAGCAATATGTGGCTTCCATATCCCATGTTGCCCAACCCAAGATCCATTTTAGAGGGCTCCCAAGCTCTCTCTGCTGCCACAGTTATTTTGAATACCTCACTATCCTAGAGAGACTTTACTGTAAACATGGAATTTTTGGTTTCATATGCATCTTATAAATACGGCTTTAATGTAATTTTATGTACAGTATATTTAATGAACAAAGTGTATAAACACTGAACCTGAGAAAGCAAAGATGTCACTATCTCAGCCACCAATGTGTACAATTTTGGAGTATTTCAGAATTCTGGATAAGGGATGCTTACTGTGTTCTGTGTATCTTTTCTGTAACATACACCACTTTTTATAGCTGATTTATGGAGATGTTTTGTGTATAAGCTAAATAGAAAATGTTATCTCCTTTGTTCAGTTTCCAAGATGAAGTTGCTAACAATGAGTAGCCAAAATGATGCATATCGTGCTTTTGATATGCTTGTACTTGAATCTATTTCAATCCATTACTTCAATTTCCATAATTAATTTATAAGTCTATGTAATGTATGTGTTTGTATGTTTATTGTAGACAACCGTACTAAGCTGGATTCTTTCATGCTTGTTGCTGGCGGTTTTCCCTTTGATGCCTGTTGTGGGAAGAGAAGCAAATCTGTCTCTAGTGTAAGAACATGAATTTAATTTTCTTCAATGTCCACACTTTCCCTTACCATTCATGTATTTCACCAGAATCTTGTTGCTGGGTGGGAATGATGTTGTTTGACAACATTGATGTGGGAATTCAGAATTTAAATGAGATACTTCTGGGGCAATGTATATCATCTAGAAGGGTGATCCCCATCACTTAAAACACTACTGCAATTGCTCTGTAAATATAACTCTTTTGGGGAGGACTTTCATCTAGGGCCCTTCCACACAGGCCCAAATCTCGAGAGGAACTTGTATTTTATATCCTAGTTCTTCTCGGGATTGAGGCCCCATGCCAGCCCTAACCATCGGGATTTTGCTAGGTGAGGGCGACATTTTGACACATCAGAAGCTTTCTCCAAGGGGCCTGAAGATGCAGTCAGCTCCTCCTGTAAATTGGGGTGGGGGAGATCATTCTTCTTCGGGCTCTTGGAGCCCAAAGAATCAGAATGGCAATGGAGATTGACCCCCGGGATCGCGGAAGGCAATCCCATGAGTCAATCCCCCAGGCCCAGCACCTGAAAAGATCCAGATCTTGCAATAAGGTCTGTATCTTTCCATGTGTTTTATTAATCCATAGTAAACTGGAAATCACTTGGACACCTCAGTTTAACTCACAACCCATCATGGGTTTGGGGCCTATGTAGAAGGGCCTCTAATTTCACTTCTGTCTAGAAGGGACCCTAGTTTCACCCTGGATAGGACACATGTTTGTGTGTGTTTGTGTGTACGTGTCCTGAGTTGTTCCTGCCCAGAATGAAGTCAAAGCTCTTGGAGAATCCTGATCTTCCTGAAGTGAATTCTTCTCACTCAGGGCGAGGAGGCAACTTAGCGATGTCTCTGTCTCCTGTTCTGAAGGGAGCTCTACTGGAAAAACAGTGGAAAGGGCTCTCAGAGGAGGCAAACAGAACAAAAAGGTGTTCAGTCACAGTGTTGGATGTGTTATGGTTAGAAACGGGATCTCCTAACACCAATCTGTTCACACCAGCCCTAAAATGTGGGGCTGCTCTAGAGTTTCATGGAAGCCCCAGAACATTGCTCAACTTCTGTTATCACAAGGTAAAATTGGATTAATTTTACCCTGTATTAAGTGTTGGAAGTCCTTGAATGTCATGTGGATATTCAACTTCTGGCCCAATTTGGGGTATTAGGCTGTGTAGACATGTCCAGATCTCCATTCCAAGCTCTTCTGTCTGGCAAAAAGAACCAAAGAAACTTCAATATAGTCTTAGCAGTTAGATAATATGCAGGTCCAGATAAGTGAATCTTTTGTATTGTCGAAGACTTTCATGGCTGGAATCACTGCGTTATTGTAGGTTTTTCGGGCTGTATGGCCATGTTCTAGAAGCATTCTCTCCTGACGTTTCGCCTGCATCTATATGACAGGCATCCTCAGAGGTCCTCACAACCTTTGAGGATGCCTGTCATAGATGCAGGTTAAACGTCAGGAGAGAATGCTTCTAGAACATGGCCATACAGCCCGAAAAACCTACAACAACCCAGTGAACCTTTTGTTTAAAACTTCCTTGCCTGCTCAATTAAAAGCCCAAGCAAATGGCTGTTCAGCAGTAAGGAATGATAAAGATGGATTTATGCAGCCATGTGAAAGAAAACTTAGTCTTGACTGCTGCCTTCTTCATCTCCCCCCCCCCCCCCTCCAATTTCCTGTCTAAAGTTCAAATTCATGTCTTATGCATGTGGTGGAGTTGCCCTTTACTGACTCAGTGATTTAATCTTCGTGAATATTATTTCTAAAACTGTGCCCTCGTAAAGCACTCACAAAGAGCTTGTATTTTACAGAACAGCAGCAGGGTTGCTGACACTGTTGGTGGCTTCATCCTACCTGGTGTCCTACTTTTGGAAAAGCAACAAGAATTACCTGCATCATAAAGACCTCAAAATATATCTTTTTCAGGTCAGTAAGTCTTGTAAACATGAATTATTGAGAGGTGTAACTTTCATCTGTGCAGTTGCTAACTAAAAATTGGGTTGATTTCATCTTCTGGGTCAATCTACTATTTACCAAGAGAACCTTTCCCAAACACCAATTGGCTGTTTTTTCAAAGCACTTTTACTTGTTGGCTACGATTCAGCACCTGCACAGTGCAAGTGGAGAAGCCATATGGGCTACTCTGTGTTCTTTTGTGAATATAGCAATGTTTCACATTATCGTCAAGAATCCCTCTGTGCCTATAGAGTGCTTTCCCATCACAAAAGGAAACAAGAGTCTTGTAATTCACCATGTATCTGCTATAGGTTGAGCATCCCTTATCTGAAATGCTTTGGATCAGAAGTGTTTAGGATTTCAGATTTTTTACCTAGTTACATATATGTAATGAGATATCTTGAAGATGGGACCTAAGTCTAAATATGGAATTCATTTATGTTTCATATACATGCTGTACACTTAACCTGAAAATAACTTCATACACCATATCTATATAAATAAAAATGTAATGTTCGTTTGTGGGATTAACATAACTCAAAAACCACATGACAAATTGACACCAAATTTGGACAGCATACACCTAACAACCCAATGTATGTCCTTCACTCAAAATAAAAATTGGATTTTGTCATTTGGAAGTTGTAGTTGCTGGGATTTATAGTTCACCTACAATCAAAGAGCATTCTGAACCGCACCAACAATGGAATTGAACCAAACTTGACACACAGTTCTCCCATGACCAACAGAAAATACTGAAAGGGTTTGGTGGGCAATGTCCTTTGGTTTTGGAGTTGTAGTTCACGTACATCCAGCGATCACTGTGGACTCAAACGATGGATCTGGACCAAACTCTACACGAATACTCAATATGTCCAAATGTGAACACTGGTGGAGTTTGGGGAAAATAGAATCTTGACATTCGGGAGTTGTAGTTGCTGGGAGTTATAGTTCACCTAAATCAAAGAGCACTCTGAACCCCACCAACAATAGAATTGGGGCAAACCTCCCACACAGAACCCCGATGTGGGCCACAGCAACGCGTGGCAGGGGATGGCTAGTCTATATAAATAAAAATGTAATGTTCGTTTGTGAGATTAACAGAACTCAAAAACCATTGGATGAATTGACACCAAATTTGGACATAAGACACCTAACTACCCAATGTGTGTCCTTCACTCAAAAAATTGATTTTCTCATTTGGGAGTTGTAGTTGCTAGGATTTATAGTACACCTACATTGAAGAGCATTCTGAACACAAATGATGGAATTGAACCAAACGTGGCACACAGGACTCCCATGACCAACAGAAAATACTAGAAAGGTTTGGTGGGCATTAACCTTGAGTTTGGGAGTTGTAGTTCACCTACATCCAGAGAGCCCTGTGGACTCAAGCAATGATGGATCTGGACCAAACTTGACACAAATCCTCAATTTGCCCAAATGTGAATACTAGTGGAGTTTGGGAAAATAGACCCTGACATTTGGCAGTTGTAGTTGCTGGGATTTATAGTTCACCTACAATCAAAGAGCATGCTGAACCCCACCAAAGACAGAATTGGGGCAAACTTCCCACATAGAACCCCCACACTTAAGTCCATCCAGTCCAACTCCCTTCACCAGGGCAAGAAAACGTAATCAAAGCCCTCCTGATGAAGAGCCATCCGGCTATATATATATATATATATATATATATAATTCACACACAAAGAGATATAGTATCATCAATTTGAAAGGGACCCCTAAAGAAGGACAGTTATATGTTGTATGTTCCAGAGTAGGCAAATCAGACAATCTCCACATCAACACTGACTTAGAAACAACAAGGAATACTGTTTACCCACAAGCATAAAGAAATTACATATATTAGAAACCATTACTTAATTTTCCAGATCACCAGACTGGGCCACAGCAACGCGTGGCAAGGCACGGCTAGTTTTAAATATTTTTGTGCTTGAAACAATGTTGCCATATACCGAACCATTAGAAAGCAAAGGAGGTGGTTCTTTGCGACTTTATCAGATATTCATTGAAAAACTTTAGCAAAATGTYCTGCAGGATGTCCTGCAAAAACAAAGATTTTGCAGTTTCATAAACTTTGTCCATGTTTTTATGTTAAACCAATTAGGAAATGYCATTAATAACCTAGGGATAAAAATTGTGTTAACATAGTGTTTTTTTCCCAATGAAGCCATCAATGACTATCTGTTAGGATGGGTATATATCACTTATAGTATCAAAGGCAGCATGACAATGTACATCACTTGCTGGGAAACACATGACAGAAAGTGCAGTTAGTTGTGCACACATCTGGCTAGGCAATATATGTACAGACTAGTATAACTTTTGCTCTGATCTAACATGGCTTTCCTTATTTATTTGTTTGTTTGTTTACAGTATTTATATACCGCGTTTCTCACCCCTGGGGGGACTCAAAGCGGTTTAGACATAAATAATGGCAAGACTCAATGCCTTACATTGGGGATAGATACAATGCCAATACAGTGTTCTGATATTCTAATGTTCTGATGGCTAAATATTGACAGTATTGGACATCATTATCAGGCATCATTCTTACAACATAGCAAAGCTATAGAAAGTGTTTAAAGTAAATAGCAACTTCTGGTTCATTGTAGCAACTGTCATTTGATGAACCTGAACAATCGGAACTTCATACCGTACCTTTTTCAGTGGGAAAATCCAGCTACTCTTATTTAACAGAAAATGTTGATGTAGTCAAGGATGGTATCATTTGCAGAAATGGTAACCTATCACTGCAAATCATGAATATATTTCCCCTGTGTGAGAAGCTGTTGGGTAGTTTGTTTTTGGAACCTAAATTATAGAAACCCCAGAATTTCATAGTGGTCTTAAATCTAGAAATGAAAACGTCTAACCTATTATAAATATTTAATTTAGTGAAATCTTGGTTCATCTGCCAGAATAGTGGGGTAGAAATGTATAATGAAACCAAAGAAAAAAAGACTAAATCACACAGAGGCAAGGAGGGCTATGAGTTCATTGAAAAACATTGAAGGCTGGGTTGCTGTGAGTTTTCCGGACTGTATGGCCATGGTTCAGAAGCATTCTCTCCTGACGTTTCACCCACATCTATGGCAGGCATCCTCAGATCTGTTGGGAACTAGGCAAGTGGGGTTTATATATCTGTGGAATGTCCAGGGTGGGAGAAAGAACCCTTTTCTGCTTGAGGCAAGTGTGAATGTTGCAAATAGCCACCTTGATTAGCATTGAATGGCCTTGTAGCTTCAATGCTTGGCTGATTGCTGCCTGGGGGAATCCTTTGTTGGAACCCTGACTTATTCTTGTCTGGAATTCCTCTGGTGTTGAGTGTCCCTCTTTATCTACCTTGATGATTTTAGAGGTTTTTTTCATACTGGTGGCCAGGTTTTGTTCGTTTTCGTGATTTTCTCCTTTCTGTTGAAATTGCCCACGTGCTTGTGGATTTCAGAGGCTTATCTGTGTAGTCTGACATGGAAGTTGCTAGAGTGGTCCAGCATTTCTGTGTTCTCAAATAATATGCTGTATCCAGATTGGTTCATCAGGGGCTCGGGTATGGCTGACATCTGGTTGAATCAGTCTGCAGTGGCTTTCCTGTTCCTTGATTCATGTTTGGGCAATGCTGCATTTGGTAGTCTCTATGTAGACTTGTCCACAATGGCATGGTATACAGTAGACTCCTGCAGAGTTGAGAGGATCCCTTTTGTCCTTTGCTGAATGTAGATCGCTTGCATGTTGTGTTTCTTCATCAGCTTCGATATGCGGTCAGGTGTATGGTAAGGACACTTTTCCTTTGGGTGGATCTTGGTCTTTATTCTCATGGCTTGTTCTTGGTCTTGTAGGTCTTCTGATGTCTGTGGTGGACATTGAAGGTTATCATCTTGGTATCTATTCAAATTTGTAGCTAGGCCCATCATACCTAAGAATATTTGAATGATCTAGCAGATGTCATATTTGGTGCAGGGGATGAGGAAGGGATCTCTACAGACCAGGGAAGCTAGTGTAGAGAAGTCAGGAGTATACGACAGGAAACTAAACAACTTATTTGGTACTGTGATACCAGACTATTTGCAGATTTTGGAGTGTGGTTCATACGGCTAAATATTTTCCAGTTTGGGCAGATTGCACACTGAGCTGTACTATCTAGTGTGCATGCAAAGAGAAAATGTATCTATAGGTTGATGCTAATTATATGTTCTGCCTTTGCAAATCTATACACATAATAAAAGTGAAAATATGTGTGTGTGTGTGGCAGGAGTATCCACTTACACAGACAACAAGCTCCTGCCTCCACAAACAGCTATAGCTCCCACTACTCAGGAGATACCCAATGGCCTTCTCTCCAATTACATTGCGGGTTAGAGCAAGCAACATGAATGTTGCCAATGTCCTCCACAAACACCATACTGCCCACCACCCAAGTGAATGCTTTCACGCGGGGATCATTTAATCCTAGATTTCCTCTACCACAGACATCTCAGTGTTTCTGACTCTCTCCATTGGTGTGGAATGTGCATGACCCCACCCACTGCCTCTCGCATAACCCTTTCCTATTCTTTTCTGTGGCACACAGCAAACAGGAATTGATCAGCAACTGAACATACTAGAGAGGTTTAGGGAATATTCACCTTCATTTATAGGAGTTGTAGGTCCTGGCATGTGTAGTTCACCTGCAATCTAAGAGCACGCTAAACTCCACCGATGATTAACCTGGAACTAAGTTGGCACACAGAACCCTCATGTCCAACAAAAAATGGAGGGATTTATAGGAGCTGTAGTTCACCAACATCCAGAGCACACTATGAACCCAAATAATGATGGATGTGGACCAAACTAGGCACATAGGCCTGGACATTTTGGAATTGTAGGTACTGGAATGTATAGTTCACCTGCAATCAATGAGTACTCTGAACTCCACCAAAGAGGGAATTGGCACACAGAACCCCCATGAC